GACTGATAGCATGGTTTTCAAGTATACATAGATAATAGATACATAAATACATAGATACATAGATACATAGATACATACTTTCATAGATATATAGATACATAGATACATAGATACATAGATAAAATAGATATATAGATACATAGATAAATAGATACATAGATAAATAGAGACATATATACATGTATATACAGATACATACAGACAATAAATACATAGATAAATAGAGACATAGAGGCATAATTAGATATATACATAGAGACATAGATACTTAGATACATAGAAACACAGATTTACATAATAGATATATAGATACATAGATATATGTATTTTATTGTATTTCAGGATTTTACAATACATGATGATAGATACAACGATACATAGAAATAATGATTTACATAGAAATATAGAACCATAGATATATTTTATACAGATTTACCCATGTCCGACTGCAACGGTATTTGTATAAGCATGGTATGATTAAGAATCTACGAAATATTCATCTTCTTTTTTTTGAAAAGTACTCATTTTTAATTATAGCTAGTGTCAATATCTTCCACATTACTGCATGATACGATAAAAAGTGTATTTTTTTATCAACAAAATCGTATGTAACGTTTATAAAATATATGAACTGTGTACTTCGACTCCCAACGATTCAGGCCTAATCAACAATAGTTAGATTTTGCCCATAATGGTTTATATATTTATATCAGTTTAATCTTTGGCAGTAATCTTCATATTTCTTGGTCTTATCATTCTATCCATCTATCCATTCTTCTTCCAATCTAGACTCAATCAATTCAATTTGATTTATTAGTTAATCATTCACGGTAAACTAACTACAACGAAGAATTGGATATTTAGAGTCATATTTTTATCTCTAATTCAAAATCTGTCAAAAATAGCGTAAATGACTTTATATAATTAAATATTATTAAATACTTAAATATTATATCAAAAACAAAAAAATGCATTTGACTGGTGAAATTGGGTTTTAAAGTTAGGACTCAAAATACGTTTAACCAGGACCTTCAGTTTAGCGTGCAGTATATTCCTCACTCTAACTTTATACCGTTCATTTTACCATTTATAAATCAATAAATTATTAACTAATAAATCTCCCATCAACTTGCCATCTGTGCAACCCCCATCCCCTTCTCTACTCTCCTACACATTCTTGTCTATTTACCCCTTTATCTTTAAGTGCCCCAACTTAGTACCCCAGGGTTTTCTTTTCCTCGATGCCCCTTTTTCCCCTATACAAATCCAGAGCAGACCCCATTGTACCTATAAGGTAAGCAGACAAGGCCTGTAAACCAGGCATTGACAGTCTACTGACAAGCATTGGATGCATGAAATATATATAATTCAGGATGCAGGATTCAGATGCATGAATAGTAAATTACAAGGCTTTTTAAGGTGCTTCGCAACCCCTTTCCAGTAAATAATTTTAGCTTTTAACTGTTGCTCTGAAAATCGGCATTTTAAATAGTCTTTAAATTTTGGCGGATTTTTGTTTTCAAATCGGCGCATTTTCAAAGAAAAAGTTTCAACTTTTTCCAGAATTTTTTCTTCCAATTTTGATGTTCCAAAAAACTTCCCTGGGGTCATGTGAGGTTGCACAGAAAGTTTGGGCCCGATCGATTCAACCGTTTTGACGATTATTGGACACAAACGGACAGAAAAACAAACAGAAAAGAAAGGTATATATATATTATATATTGATAAAAGAAGGCATAGTAAAGTATGAAAGGGATGCATACATCAAAATATGTACCTCTGACAAAGGTATATTATATACAGTGGGACCCATAAAATATGGAATAGGAAAACGGATTTTAGTAATAATGTACTATACGTACATAGACCCGTTTCACCGAACGAGATTATTTTCAAGCTTTTTGGTAGCGCGCTATAATAACAACATTTGAAATAAATGATTTAATGCTTTGTGGGTCCCATATAGTACTTCTAACTTTATTGCATAATTAAAAACTGAATTTTTGAAATGAAGTTTTTTTTTAGAGGAGTAACCACTACACAGTCCTTGAAAGGCGTAATTTGAAATAGACTGTAATCGTAATTTCAAGTGACCCTCCATGCAAAGATGACAATTCCCGATTCACAACGATACCCTTAAAGCTTTGTCAATTAATGTATGAAGTAGATATCGATGTTTAACATTTTAAAAACTAATTATTTCCAAATCTGGTTTCTCTACAAAAGTGACTTGCGCATTTCTACTGCAGGAAGCATATAGAAATTGTCAAAATTAAGCCTTTGAAGAAAAACGACAGTCTTCCACATTATTGATGAGATGTACAAAAGGGTACCCTCATGAATCTGACATGTCCTTTTAATGGACGGTCAGCAAATAACATAATTTCAAAAACATATTTTTTTCTTTCTTTCTATATCCATATATCTATCTATATATCCATCTATCTAAATATATTTCTATCTATCTATCTATCTATCCATGTATCTACCTATCTATTCTCCTGATGGTGGTTTACAAGTTAAATTGATTGACCTTCTATCATCTTTACAGTGCACAGAACATGAGAGCTTAACACATTTTTTCTTCTTCCATTTTTCTTGTTTTGATATCTATCTATCTATAATCTATACATCTATCTATCTATCTATCTATCTATCTATCTATCTATCTATCTCTAATCTATACATCTATCTATCTATTCATATATCGTTGTATATATCTATACAGCTATGTTCTATTTGCCAACTTAAATGCTCAGAATTCTCCATTAAAAAAAATATTTGGTGTCTTCCTTCATATTATATTTATTTAACATATATATATCTGCATCTATCTATCAATCGTACGCGTATGTATAAACATATCTATCTATCTATCTATCTATCTATCTATCTATCTATCTATCTATCTACACACATCCATTTTAAGTTGTACAATCAAACTCTGCAAACAGCATTCAAGATAGCCTTGTTTACCTAGCTAAAACCTTTTTAGTTGCCTAGCTATCTAGCTATTAAGCTTTCTTTGATTTACTATCTATCAATCTAGCTCTCTCCCCCCTCATATGTAATGTATTCACATTTAAGTTCCAATGTTTTCTGACCTTTCGCAAGCCATTGACCCCCCCCCCCTCTTCTTAGCTTTCACAAAAACAAACAAACAGAAACACACACAGACTTCTCAATATGCACGTACACACATTACAAGAAGCATGAATAGGTTTACAATCCCATTAATTAAAACAATGATTGAAAAAACAAGGAATTAAAACAGGTAAAGCAGATTTAATTCCACCGTTATAAGAATATGCTTTCAGATAGGAAAAGTAAAGTAAAAAATTATTTATTTATGAAATATAACAAAAACATACAGTTTTAAGTGTTTCAGGAGAAAATATCTAAAAACCTCTAAAAGTAGAGGTTGTGGGAATATTTCCCCCCAATTCTAAAAAATATAAAAAAATAGAAATAAAAGGAAAAGGAAAGGATAAGTTAAGTTACTTGTTTATTGTTTACACTATATATAATATAAATTGGTGGTGGATTGTTAGTATTTTTCGACAATGAACTAACAACTTTTAGAAATAAACATTTTTGATTTATTTGTAATGTTAAAAAAAGTAAAGAAAGCTTTATGGAGTGTGAAAGAGATATAGGTTCGATGAAAAACAGACATAATTAAAAAATAATTAATTAATGAATATCTTCGTAATTTTTAATTGAACTAAAAACATGAAATAACACTTTTTTTAGAGACCAAAATTAGGAGCACCAACAAATAAGGGGAAAAAATGACTAAAACCTAAAGAAGTAAAACCACAACAACAAATAACTAAGTGTTAAACTGACTAAAAAATGAAGAAGTAAACCGTTATGTAAACACGAAGTGCTAAAACAGGAAAGAATAACAAATAAAAAATCATTCTAACACCCCCCCCCCCCTCTACACTACCCCCTCCCCATACACTCCCAAACACTATTTCGTGAACAATGGGTGTCATAAAAAGAGGTGTAAGGTCGGACTAATTATAAACCTTTTGAAGATGCAAAAATATTTGCGATTGTTTGCAAAATTCTTTAATTACAATCTTCTATATCTACTTGCACTTCCGTGGCTTATAATGGGATACAGCTTGTTCCATAATTACTTTTGTTTAAAAATAGGCTTTAAAGGAATTATGGGCGTAATTTAAAGTGGACTTATATTTGACTATGAAATAATATAAAGAATGAGATTCTTTTACACAGCATCCACGTTGGTCAATATGATTTGAATTTGTTACTTTTCTAGAAGATATAAACCTTTACAGACTGGTAAGAAAAGGGTAAAAAAAAGTCTATTTCTAGATTGATCAATTTCATTTTCTTACAATCATTTATCAAATAAAGAATTAGGAATATATCAATTGTTTATGTCGCTCTTATATATAGGAATTGAGTTTTTGCCACAAATCCCAATCTCCTAAATCTCAACAACCAGATGATGCATACCTTTCATCATTCAAACTTACATTGTTTGATCCACAAGAATTCATATTTTGAAATATCTACGGTCTACGACATTTGGTTTTAAAGAAATTGGGATTTAAAAATCCGAGTTTGTGGCAATGACTCAATTCCTTTCAAAGAATTCGAATTAAAAGGTCGGTGATCGTAATTTCAAGTGACCCTCCATGCAAAGATGACAATGCCCGATTCCCAATTATACCATTGCATACCATTGAAACTTTTTTAAGATTAATAATGTGGAAGATCTTGTGGTTTTCTAGATTTAAAAATGTTTAATTCTTATAATTCCTGCAGTAGAGAAACCACAATTGAAAATAGTCAGTTTTTAAAGTTATAAACAGCTTTTAAGGGTACCGTTGTGAATTGGGCATTGCTATCTTTGCATGAAGGGTCACTTGAAATTAAGCTTACAGTCGATCCTGTTTAAAAGAAATCTTTGAAATCAATATTTTTAAATTTTATATTTTTATGAATAGTCTTTTTTTACATACCTCTGAGGGTTCTGGAGAGTTTTCCGAACATTTTAAACTTTTTAAACTAAAGATTTGATTGAAATCTTTTTGTATTCATCACAATTTTATCTTTTAAAAATCACATTTTTAACTTGATGAACTTCATGTAAGAGTCGGTCTGTGCACGTCCGTTCACTAGACCAGCCAGAATACAACTGATGAGATTGGGAATCCGCGAAACAAACATCCAGAACATACACACACACACTAACCACCCCGGCCCGGGCCGTAGTGACCAGGCGGGACAGTACCGTGCACCTGTAGTGACCAGGCGGTACAGTACTATGCACCTGTATCTAGCCGAACCAACACGACAAATATAAATAAATAAAAATGTTTTCACACTAAAATAAAAAGATGTTACAATGTTTACCTACTTCGAATGATCTCAATGCTTTCAGAAGTTTAGTCAGAGATATTTCAATTTTATTCAAACAATCATTGTAAATGCGCAGAAAGTATTATGACCCCCAACAATATCAATATATTAAATATTTTTAAGAGCAGAGCCGTAACCAAAGAGAATAGAATATATATTAGAGGGGAATTTACTAGAAAAAGAGTGTAGAACGGACATTTTGTTGTACTGTTTCCATACTGCAGGTGTACTTCACATATTTATGCTAAATAACCTTTTGGGCCCTGGAACATCATTTTATAAAAAATCTAAAACGAATGTTAAAAGAAAACCAAATAATTGACCAATGATCATTTCACATAGACTCTATGCCTTTCACTTTAAAAACGATGATTTTCCGTTAAAACTATAAATCAAATGATGTTTTTTTATTCACCTAATTCATTATAAAGTTTAACAGCTTTAAAAAATTCAAAATTGAAATGAATAGTCTAGGGAACATACTGTATTAATGTACTCTACTGCATATAATTTGTGAACATTTACATGATTTGTACACTTTAATCTCCCTTTCAGTCTGAAAGGGATTAAAAAAATTCATACCGAGCGATTCTCTAAATTCCCCTCTAATATATATTCTATTCTCTATGGCCGTAACTGAGGGGGTGGAGGTGCCTCTCCCCCCCCCACCTGTTGAAAATCGAAAACAGGCAGACAATGTGAGGAATTTAATGAATTTAGAAAACGAAATAAAATTACTCCCAGCAACATGTGTTATATGTATTTATTTGCTTGTCCCTGCTGCATAAATCTGCTGGTGACTTTAATAGAGAACTACAGTTGAAAGTTCTTGAACAGAAAAACTGAATATCTCAATTGAATTTTCTCAAACAGAACTTGAAATTACGCCGCCAGGAACATATGATCCAAATAGGACATTTTTTTCAATTTTTCAAATCAAAGAAAACTTTGTAAAAATTAATATCTTATCATTTTTTGTAAACCACACATTGGGAAGAAATGTAGTCTGGCGGTTTTTTTTATTCTTCGTTCAATAGTGAAATTAAAAACAAAATTCATGCGATTATTGGGATACCCTGTATCTAAGTGTGGAAAAATAAATCAAAATTGGGACACCCTGTATTTAAGTGAACAAAGAAATGAATTTTAGGACACCCTGTATCAATAGGCAGACAAAGAAATGAATTTTAGGACACCCTGTATCAATAGGCAGACAAAGAAATGAATTTTAGGACACCCTGTATCTAGGTGGACAAAGAAATGAATTTTAGGACACCCTGTATCTAGGTGGACAACGAAAGAAATATATTAGGACACCCAGTATCAAGATGTCGACAAAGCAATGAATAATAGGACACCCTGTATCTAGGTGGACAAAGAAAGAAATATATTAGGACACCCTGTATCTAGGTGGACAAACAAAGAAATATATTAGAACAACTTGTATCTAGGTGGACAAATAAATCATTATTGGGACACCCTGTATCTATAGGTGGATCTATGTGAACAAAGAAAAAAATATCTTAGGACACCCAGTATCTAGATGGACAAAGCAATGAATATTGGGACACCCTGTAGATAGGTGGACATATAAATAAATATCTTGGGACACCCTGTATCTAGGTGGACAAAGAAATGAATATTAGGACACCCTGTATCTAGGTGGGCAAAGCAATGAATATTGGGACACCCTGTAGATAGTTGGACATAGAAATGAATATCTTGGGACACCCTGTATCTAGAGGTGGACAAAGAATGAGTAATAACTATTCAGCCTAAACTTTAACCGTCACATATTATATTTAAATCTATCTATCTATCTATCTATCTATCTACCCTTCCAAACTCCTTCAACCAGAAATCCTACCCCCCCCCCCCCCCCTTCTCCTTCCTCTTTTCTAGAGGATGACTCATTGTTTATGGTAGGGGGGGGGGGGGGGGCACACGCCAAAACCATCAATAATAATTAGTCTGAAATATGTATCTTTAGACGCTTTTTTCTGTTCCAACAGTTTACGAAAAAGTGTAAAAAGGTAAAAAAGGAAAAGAAAAGTTTAATAAAAGTAAGGTATAAAAAGGAAAGTAATAAGAAGGTTGAAAGAAAGGAAGGTGTAAAGAAAGGAAGATGTAAAGAAATGAAGGTATAAAGAAAGGAAGATGTTAAGAAATGAAGGTGAGAAGAAAGAAGGTGTAAAGAGAGAAGGTGTAAAGAAAGAAATGTGCAAAGAAAAGAAGGTGTAAAGAAAGTAAGGTGTAAAGAAAGGAAGGCGTAAAGAAAGAAATGTGTAAAGAAAGAAATGTGCAAAGAAAAGGTGTAAAGAAAGGAAGGTGTAAATAAAGAAAGGTGTAAAGAAAGGAAGGTGTAAAGAAAGGAAGGTGTAAAGAAAGGAAGGTGTAAAAAAGGAAGGTGTAAAGAAAGGAAAGTGTTAAGAAAGGAAGGTGTAAAGAAAAGAAGGTGAAAAGAAAGAAAGGTGTAAAGAAATAAGATGTAAAGAAAGGAAGTGAAGGTGTAAAGAAAGGAAGTAAAAGTGCAAAGAAATGAAGTGAAGGTGTAAAGAAAGGAAAGTGTGAAGAAAGAAATGTGTAAAGAAAGGAAGGTTTAAAGAAAGTAATGTTCAAACAAAAGAAGGTGTATAAAAGAAAGGTGTAAAGAAATAAAGATGTAAAGAAAGGAAGTGAAGGTGTAAAGAAAGGAAAGTGTAAAGAAAGGAAGTGAAGGTGTAAAGAAAGGAAAATGTAAATAAAGAAAGGTGTAAAGAAAGGAAGATGTAAAGAAAGAAAGGTGTAAAGAAAGGAAGGTGTAAAGAAAGAAATGTGCAAAGAAAAGAAGGTGTGAAGAAAGAAAGGTGTAAAGAAAGGAAAGTGTAAAGAAAGGAAAATGTAAAGAAAGGAAGGCGTAAAGGAAAAAGGTGTTAAGGAAAGATTTCTAAAAGGTTCAGTAATAACCAGAAAAATTTAAAATAGGAAGACGACTTTTAGAGCCAAGTTATAACTTTAAAAAGTTCAATGAGCAGAGACACAACAATTGCGCAATGTAAACAGACCCATTTAAATAAATTTATGATATCATGTGTCAATTGCAAGTCTATTTGCTTTGTAACAACATCAAATACAAGTTAGTATTGATATAATGTCGTCTTACTATTCTATTGTTTTCAGGTTATCACTGTATATAGAATAATAGAAAGTTAGAAAGTTAGATAAGTAGAAAGATAGAAAGATAGAAAGATAGAAGGAAAGAAAGTTAGAAAAATAGATAGATGGAAAGATAGAAATATTGAAGTTAGATTGATAGAATGATAGAAAGATAGAAAGATAGAAAGATAGAAAAGTTTAATAGAAAGATGGAAAAATAGAAAGATAAAAAGATAGAAGAAAGAAGGATAGATAGATAGAAAGATAGATTGAGCGGAAGGGTGTAAGCTTACCAAAGAGAGCTCACAGCTCAAAACAAACCAATTCATTCTCCACTCAGGCAGCTCATGCAAGGAAGAGGAGGGAGAGCTGGGGGCCTGGGAGGGGTTGAAAGAGAAGAATGAAGGGGGAGGAGGGTTAAAGTGTAAGTTTTGAAGCATGNGGGGGGTAGTTTAGATACAGAGGGACACATACAACTGTGCAATCATAGGAAAACAATGTTTAAGCAATTTTTTGTACATTTGATGGGGGTTTAAAGAATAGGTAACTTAAAAATCAACTTATTTAGTTAAAGGATTTGTGCAATTGCACATGTGTTTCATGTTCGATCATAACATTATTCAAGATTTTAAATTGAGTTAAAAGTCGTCTTCTTATTCCACAGCTGTATGGATCCTACTGCATATTTCAGGTTAAAGGTTATAGATCGCGCAGAGTTAAAGATAAAATGTTTTATTTTGAATAATTTTGTAAAACGTGAGTAGTTCACATCTTAAGGGTTTATATAACGGTTTCGGTAATATTTCTGAGTTTGTTTGTGAGTTTGTGAGTTTGTGAGTTTTTCATTCTGTCAGTTTGTCAGTTTGTGTGTTTGTGAGTTTGTGAGTTTGTGAGTTTGTGAGTTTGTGAGTTTGTGAGTTTGTGAGTTTTTCATTCTGTCAGTTTGTCAGTTTGTCAGTTTGTCAGTTTGTGAGTTTGTGAGTTTGTGAGTTTGTGAGTTTGTCAGTTTTTCATTTTGTCAGTTTGTGAGTTTGTGAGTTTGTCAGTTTTTCATTTTGTCAGTTTGTCAGTTTTTCAGTCTGTCAGTTTGACAGTTTGTCAGTTTGTCAGTCTGTCAGTCTGTCAGTCTGTCATATGTAAATTTTGAGAAAGGTTAAGGTTGGGCGAACAGTTTAGACTGATTTATTTATTGATTGATTGATCTATTTCTAGTCAAACAGTTTAGATTGATTGATTGATTGATCTATTTCTAGTTAAACAGTATACAAACGAGCCAACTTTCTTCACTTTTTGGTTGTATATTGTATAATGTATAATCTCAAAGTTTTCCCATAATTCCACAAAAAAAGACTTTGTTCTTATGTTTAGTTTGAAGTCTACATTCTTATAGAAATGAATCATGTTGTCTCCCGCATGTCACAATTTACAATAAGATCCATGCATAAAATGTATATATTTGTCATTCCTGTGATGTTCGAACCTATTTCGGAAATATGTCAGTTTCCCGCATTTGTAGAATAAAGAAAGTTTTCACGTATTTTAGGAAACAGAAAGTTTGTATAAAAAGCTGCTTGATGTTGTGACAGTTAAAAGAATATTTTTTGAAATCTTTTTTTTCTAAATTTTTGCGTTGTAAGTTTTTGTTTAG